AAAAAAAAAAAAAAAAAAATAAAAAAAAAAGAGTCCTTAATGCTTGGGTCCAGATGTAAGAGATGTGTGACACGGGGAGAAGTGGAACGGATTGAAGGGATGCCCGGCGAACACCCACAGCTTGCAGTGCCATCCCCTGCTCTGTCCCTCGGGAGACAGGGCTGGGACAGCCTGTCTCCATACCTCCACACACAGCATCCCAAGTCATTTGCCCTCCTTCCTAATTAAAGTGCTCCCCGAGGGGCGCTGGAGGAGGATGTGTGTACACCTTTGTACTCAGCTGCTCCAAACTTCCTAGGGCAATACCGCAGGGTGATCCTGATGGCTTTTTTCATGCTAAATAACTGACCTAGACGCCCTTACTGCCCCATTCATCTCTTCTACATAAACAAACTATTCATTCCCTAAGGAATAGGTGCATCTGTTCGCTCAGGCCCAGCTCCTGAGGGAAGCCAACAAGAGACTTGAAACTATTTAAGGAAGAAGGGAGCACAACACACTGTTAGAGTATCTTTGCTGTCCCGGGGCCATCCAGGTGTTAAATCACTCAGTGGCCTCTGAAGGGTCCGGAGCCAAACACTGAAACAAAAGGCAAAGATGGGGAAGGAGAGTGCCAGATATCACAGCTCACACTCCTTGAGTTTCTCTGTTTCTTGCTGAGGTTTTCGGGAGCTGTGCATTGACGAGACAGAAAATGAAGTTGACTGTAGGAGGCTTGGAGCACTCAACACTGCTGCAAACTTTATGAGCTGGTCAGCGTTACTAATGTTCTCAGAGTAACACTCTTGTGGGACTCCTGAGCTTCGTTTTCACTGGAAAGAAACAATAGTTTTAGCTGTGAAATGTTTTACATTCAACTTCCACCTCTCCCCCCCGCCTTCAGTGGAGTTGCCATGAGCCCAGACTTTAAAAACATTTCAGACTTAAAAGGTTAAGATTTAAGTGCTGCTGATTTTATCTGGGCTTTTAACTAACATAGGCAGGTGGATTAGAGATATGTGTACAATCTCCACTCTAGACACTTGGGTAAATATGCACAAGTGCTGAGTGAGCCAAGGAAGGAATCTGATGTTATTGTCTATTAATTTGAAAGCAGAGATTAAAGAAAGTGCAGAAATCAGTAGTGTAAATATCAAAAAGGATTTCCATTTATATGTAAGAACATTACTCTAGCAGTCTGGCTATTTCAAATAACATGAAAGCTTTTTTTTTCTGAGGAAAAAGAATTGTGAATTTGTTTAAATTTACATATTTCCCTCTCTCTTTGTTTGCAGGAATGGTCACCATGCTTGCAGCTAGGAAGCAGTTTGCTCAACAGGGCTGGGTTTTGTTCAGGGTCTGCATTTGGCTGGAGGACCTAAAAACAGCAAAAGTATTTCACAAAGTTATATGACAGGCAACCAGGCTGGGATTTCCTCCTCCTTGCCTTCTTTTTTCACAGTAATATTTGTGACTATTTTTGCTTTTTTTTGTTTTATTTTCACTGAAAATCGGCTTGAAAACAGCTTCTGGTTTTCTACAAATGTTTTTGTTATTCTAAAAGATCATGGAAACTCGGCAGAAATGATATGCAGGTGATGGGGCATTCCAAACCATTTTGGCTGTGGCTGTTGATCGAGTTAGTGATGTGACTGCTTATCCAGTTCCTGTGGATCACTTCCTCCTCCTCCTTAGATGCCTACAACCAATTTTTTAATTAATTGTGATAATAAATAGTAAACATCCTCAAAAAAATTAAGTGTTTGCGCTTTCTCCTGGAAGGGAGCAAAAAAAAAAATTGTATCTGCTCTGTTAATATAGCCTATGATTTTAACACTGGAAGCAACAATATTTTCTCTAGAATTGGAATTAAGTTGTGTCTGTATGAGATTGGTGCTCTTTAAAAGCATACTTGGGGCTAAAATATCAAGAAATTCTCTACTTTTATGAAAGCTTTACAAATTCCTGGAGGTCATCTGAATACTCAAAAATAATGCATAATGTGACCCCATGAATCAAATAGGCCAAGCTCAGCACTTTTTATTAGCAGAAATATTCATGAATCTTTTATCCTCCTCCTTAGTCCACCAGCTCTTATTTTCACCCTGTTCTCTCCTTAATGCAACATTTCATAGGAATGCCAAGAAAAAGGAACCCAGCTTCAGGTTTAATTGCTAATATTTCTAAATTTAGTCAGCATAAAATCCATCTGAGGCTCCAAAGATTTTCCTTGTAATCTGCAGAACCTGAGTTTGAATCTAGCCCAAGAGAGCACCACAGCAAATAAATACCATCTGATCTCTACAGAAATCTGACAAGAGTTCAACTGTTTTCCACCTTGCTAGGAGTATATCAGAGCTGATTTCCCAATGCAATGCTGTAAGGGAAAAAGTCAATTAAAATGCAACTGTCCCAATTTCGGTGAAAGTTACTGATCAGCAGGAATCTCTATACATGTGGTTATTATTTTTTTTTCTTTTGAATTAAGCAGGCCAATATATTGTGTGATATTATGTTCTTATGCTGGCTTGTTTTCTGACTCATGTAGCCCTGGACAAGCAGCAGTGATAGTGAGCCAAATGACCCCAGTTTTCCACACAACAATATGGGAATTGCTGGACTCAGCTCATTCCTTCCATCTTTCTCACCTGCTTCTGTGACCATTAGAGATACCACAGTGAAACTCTGCAATATTTGGCTGAAGGGACATGGCTGGGGCTGCCAGTTTTGTTATATACCAGCACTTTCCCTATCAGTGTAGCCTAAATGGGATTAGGCTAGACAGAAAGGAACCAAATCTGGATGCTGGAAACCATCCAGATTTGGTTATCATTTCATTCTTTACTTTGGTCCATGTAAGTGTCTTATGGAAGATTTCAAGTTTTAGCAACCAAAGCAAAAGGGAAACTCTTTCTCTAGTGTCACAGGCCTGACTGTGGGTTATCAGCCTCAGCAAATTGTCCCAACTGTTGCTAGCATCATAGAAACGTAGGCATTATCTGATTGAAGACTGGATTTGCACATTTTTTATGCTACAGCTATTAGTTTTCAGTAGAAAGTTTTCAATATTTCAGTGGCAAAGCCTCAGATCCAGCAGTGATTTTGTTTGGAGTGGCTTTTGCTCAGGATTACAAATTTTTGTTTGTCAGATCATTTTGCAACTTACATTTGGAAAATTTTAATATGGAGAAAACCTCTGGATGCCATTCAGTTCTGGCATTAAATGTCCATAAAACACAGAGGAATCTCTTCAGTGAAGCACTTAAAGTATCAGGTCTTCTTAATCCAGTAAGATTAACTATCATGTATAAGTAAATAGGAATTGTTTTTAATTCATTTCCCATTTCCAGATGTAGGATGATTAGGCCTGCAAATTAGTTTGCTTCAATACTGAATATTGAGACTGCATCAATAATTACTGAATAAAAAGCTGAGCCCTGGGGTTTGGGCTCCCCTGAACAGTTTGGATCAGGAGTTCACTCACATTATGTTACAGATAACAGCTCTGCACAACATTTGGCTCAGGTTCAATTGCTCTGAGTCTAAGGCCAGGACAGACCTTCAGTTCATCTCCTTCGACTCTCTTTCTAGCCCACACAATTATATTTCACTCACATATTTCTACGCTGAGCCTGGTGACATTAATTAAATGGGAACATTTCAGAAGTCAAGAGACAGAACTGTTGCCTGCTCTAGGCAGAGAGCAGGAGGGAGAGGCGAGCCCAGCCCTTGCCGTGGCAAAGAGCTGAGAAAGGTGAGCACGCCTGGGATTTGTCTCCTGGAGCTTTACATGTCTATAAGGTAGATGTCTACATCTGATCTCATCATGCTCACACCCCGCTGCAGTCAGAGGAAAGGGCATTTCCAGTGCTCATTTCATCTGCTCTGCCTGTGTCAGGCTGAGACTCAGAGCTCCCTTTCCACTGCAGGGTGACCACCTCAGGTGGGCCAGCTGTGTCCAGGTGTCTGGGAGCCATGCAAGGACACCCTCAGCTTTCATAGCCACACCACAAGCCCTGCAAAACAGAGCAGCTCTCGGGCCATTAAAGATCTGTTGGTTTAACCAAGCAAAGTTTCAAATTATCGTTCCCTCTGGATGCAGGAGAGCAATAAAGGTTGGGATTTTTAGTTTGGGTTTGCATCTACTACAAAAGAGAGCTGTCTGTCATGCAACATTATCTTCAAGGTTAAGATGGGGCTGACTGCATTCTCTTGCTTTATGAAAGTGAGAATTGGTGTTATTGTCCTTTCACTCTCATGAGAGACACTTAATTTAAAAAGAGGCCTTGAATTTTGTTAAACATTATCAGTTCCTATTTTATTCTAGATTGATATGTAGATTAGGCAATGCCTGACACTCAAAATTAAATATGAATAACACAAAATAAGAATAAATTAAAAGACTGCAAGATGTCCTGGCTACCCCAGCTTTTGTCACAATATTTCTAGTAATAAATGACTAGAGGTGTTGGTTAGGAGAATTCAGTTTATCCCTATGGAAACATGCTACGGAGGAAAATAAACTATAGAAAGCGTGAATTTAGGAATTAAAAGTCCTACAAGCCATTGTCTTGTGCTCATCTAGCCAAGATTAGAAAACACCCACTACAGCAGTGCAGTCTTTTCCAACATTTCATCTCAGCCATCATGTGTTTCAACTCTCTCCTGAAAGAATAGCCTCTAGGAAGAGGCTGAGTGCAAAATTCACAGCACATAAATTAGCCTCTTTCTCCAGCTAGTGGGTTATTGAGAGGAGATTGGAATTGCTTTGTTACTCAAATGTATTTGACATACTCCTTTGCCATTTTTTTAAACTCTCTTGGCTACTCAATGTTTTGCCCTGAGTAGTTGTGATCCCTATTTAAAGGTGAATTGCTTTCCTTAAATCTAATAAATGAGCAACTTGGCTTGTGTGAGCAAATGTAGCAGTTTTCAGAAGAACTTGCATCCACACTGGTGATATTGCCATTTGAGAGCCAGAGCATGAACAATCACACAAAATTAATGGAAAATTGGAACAAAAGAGGGGCAGGCAGGGTGAAAACGAATTCTTTAGAAAATCTGAATGTCTGTGGATTACTTAAGCTTAACTCTACACCTTCATATAGGCACAAGACATCCTGTAGCCCACAGGAGAGTTTCAACATGTTACACATTCAGCATACAAGACACATTAAGAAACTTGATATTAGGTTTCCCACTGATTTCTGAGTGACTGGATGTGCAGTTGACTGTCTGCCTTTTTCCCTTTTCCCAGCACGCCTGGATACCTAGTTTTGCTGTCATCAGTCCAAACACATGCTCTATTTTCCCCTCTTTCTAAGCAAAATCCTCTCCTCCTCTCCATACATTACTCTTTCCTGTCTCTTGTTCCTCCAAAGCGGTGGTGCCTGCCAGGAATCAGAGAGATTCAGTGTGTGTATAGAACGACCTGGGAAAGGGGTACTTAGGACAGAATTGCCTGTTTTGGGCCCAAAACATGAGGTTTTCAAACTGTGTTAGTCCCATGAAAAACCAGGAATTAGGAGGAGCAGCAGAAAACATCTTGCATGTGTCAGTGTCTGTGTGTGTGTGCACACTCTAACCTGGCGTTATACTGGTGATTAAATGGTCTTTAAATCAAAGCTGATAGATAAATAAGCAACTATTCCAAAACCAAGGGGGTTAAAAAACACTCCACATGCACCTGCTGGAGACGCTGTGCTGCTGGCTCTACATTTCAACTCTAACCTGTATTTGATATGGTGTTGTTGCAGCTGTGGGTTGGGGTGGTTTATTTAAGTGGCTCCAAATGCTTGTCAGTGTGGCAACCAGCTGAATACATAAAACAGGCTCTCCAAACCCTTTATGGCCCAGGGTCAGAGTAAATGGAATAATAAAATCCAAATGCTTTTGTCTCATTTTCCATCACCCAAGCCTTCCGCATAAATCTACAGCTTTGCAATGACCTTCGCATTCAGTGTCGGGGATGAGGCCGCAGGTCTGAGATACATTTGGTCTTCATCTTAGGTCTTTAAAAGCTTTTTCCAATTAATTTTAACTGACTTCCATAAGGATCAAGTACAGTTTCCTCCTCCCAGCCCCCTCAATCCACATCCCACCCCCTTTTTCTCCTACCTGGCATCTTCAACCAGTCAATTGGGGGAACACTGGAGAATAAGATTATTGATAATATTAAATGTGGTAGCACCAACAGCAAAGACATTTACAAAATGAGTGATTTAGCAAATAGGAAGTGAGAGATTTCTTTAAAGAGTTTTATTTTGATGTCTTCCTCACAGCAGGGTGTCTGGTTTTCTTTATTTCTCCAGTGCCACATTATCCCTGTTCAGATGTCATCGTGGGGACCCATGTGTTTGCAAAGTGTAGGTCACTATGAAACTAATGGATACATGTTTGGGTTTACAGAATCAAAAATCACCTTGTCTAGAACTGCTGAGGGCTACTCCTTGCA